AAATTACGACTTAATTGGTAATTTTGAAATAGGATGGCGAGCAATTTGAGTTATTTTTTGGATGTATTATTACATCTTAAATGATGAATGCTTAATGCTGAAAACCGGACTAGTTCACACGAGTCGAGAATGTTAAACTAAGCAATCCAAAAATGTTAAACAAGCAATCCGGAAATGTTGAACTAAATTAATTGTGAATAAGTAGTAAAAATAAGCAATAATAGCTGAAAATAGTGGATGAAAGTTTGCAACGATAAAAATAGCTAAATGGAACTTAAGCAAGTGCAAATTAAAGTTAGATCAGTCTATTCTAACAAATTTAATCGATCCAGTTATTCATTTCCTATATTTATTCCTGTTTTTCCTCTTCTTCTTGCTCCTATTTTAGAATTATTTATTTCATTTGTATTTTCCAATAATTCTTCAAATTTTGATAGACAAGCAGCATTATCACATAAATGTTAATGGAAAATTTTTCACATGCATTAACAAAATACTAATTAAAGCCAGAAATTAAAACTTTTTCTCTTTTTTTTTCTTTCAATTTCTTTTTTACATTGTTCACCGAAATTTTTAGTTAATTATTTTTATTATGAGCTCTTCTTCTGACGAAATGAATAAACATTTTAATCAGAAAAAAATTTTTTGCTTTTTTCTTGCTTCGTTTTTAATTTTTTCATTTTTATTTCCCATTAAAACTTGCTCATTTTTTTTTTAAACTTTAATACATATTCAAATGCTAACATAGAATTTTGTTTTTTTTTTGGAAAGAACTATAATTTCCAGTTCAATTTTTTCAATTTTATATTTTTGGCATGATTGATATTTTTATTACTGTTATGACTGCAAAAGCCATTTGCAAAAGTTTCTCATGCAAAAATTATTTTGGATCTTTTTTTTTCCAGTAATCGTAATATTTTTGATAATTAATCCTATTAAATAGCTGTAATTTTTAGCAAATATGAGAATTGCATCATTTATCATATATGTTATCAATCATGTGTGATAAATAAATAATTATGCAATTTGATAAAGTATTATCATCCAAATAGCAATTTTTATATTATTAGCAAATAATGCATTCAAAATATAATTATTTCGACTTTTTATATTTTGATTACAATCATCTTATCACATAAAACTGATAATTGTTATCAGTTGGTCCATTTTAGGGCAAGTTATAACTGATAACATTTATCACTGTTATGAATTGATACTATCGCTGACTGTTTTGTAATCAAGTCATCTTAAATGGCATTTAAATTTCATGTCTACCTTAAAATGCTAATTTAATTATCTACATAACCTTTACGTTTTTATGCATTAAAAATTTGTAAATTTGATAAAATTCATTTTTTATTACACATAATGATAATAAATAGCGAGAAAAAAAAGAACTTAAAATTAGGCGCTTGAATAAAAAAATTTTTTCCACTTGCAAAAGAACTCCAATTTTGCCAATTATTAAAAACTTGTTTTTAAAGTTTAATGATAATTTCACAGACATCGATAGCATGCACGCACATACACATACATACACACACACACACGCATACACTCACATACATAAATACATGCATGTATAATATCTAATTGCTCCCATATAATTAATTCATTTACGAATCTAAAAATAGATAAGTAAGTTTTCTTTTTTTAATTGCTCTAAATTGAAATAATTTGGTGTTAAAATTTTTCCCAAATAATTTAATTATATTATCAAAACGAAATTATTAGCAGTTATTTTGATATTAAAAAAACCTCACTAGAAAAAAAATTCAATATTCAATTTTCAATTGAACAGAATGTAACAAATATCCAAAAGTATATCAGTATTTACTAAACAAATTCATATTTTTCTTAAAAAAATTATCACAGCATAAATGCACTTATCACTTTGTAGCAATAATCATAATAATTGATGAGAATTATTAATTTTGATCAAACCTAATTCAAACAATTTCATTGTCAAAAATTTAATCAAAAAAAAAAAACATTCTTTCAGTTTGATTGATTAGCTAAGTTTGAACAATTTAAACATATCCATATTTTCTTATCATTTAACAGTGTTAAAAAATTCAGATCTTCCTAAAGTAATGATTCAATCAGCTGATCATTCATTAAATTCGTTACAGGAATGAAAATTATAACTTATCAAATATCGAGATCACAAAATGATGAATCTTGGTTTGCTTTCAGAATAAACTACGAAAAAAGAAAATAAGATTTAGATTTTACTCAAATTTCTGAAATTTCATTATTACTTGACACAATTTTCTGGCATCTTCTTCAGCAATCAATCTATAATCGATCAATCAATTCGTTTTCCTTTTCCTTTCATTTCCTTTTAATCCATTTATTTGTTTATTCTTAGCTTCATTTTTTTTTCTTCAAAAAATTATATTCGCGAAATTAATAAATCCATCCATTCGTTTCATTTGTTTACATATTCTTGTTGTTGATTATCAATTTTTTAACAAATTAACAACAATTGTTAGAATTTAATAAATAAAATGTAGAATTCCATGGAATTTATATATAATACTTAACAATTATGCAAACGATAAATGGCGAAATATTTTATTTTGCCAGAATTTTCCATTTACAATACTATCATTTATCATTTTGCAAGTTAAATTTCCACAAATAATAGCAATCTTTTTGAAAGCGTATTGACAATTCGTCGCTTTAATTTCACCAAAATATCACAAAATATCAAATGTCCATTATGTGGCAATTTTTCTCTTAAAATTTCAAAAATTAATTAATCATACATGACAGCTTGAACGGAAACATTTTGATGAATAATTTGAATTTTAATTGCTATGAAATAATTTCAAGCACTAAAATTTTTACATTTTTAAAATTTATCAATGCAAAGCTAAAATTGATAGTATTCCCACTATGAATAAATTGCAATATTTTATCATCATGAATAAATTGTGATATTTTAAATTTGTAATATGTTAAAAATTACCCACACATACCGGCTGATTTTTAATAAAAATTTGAATTTTTCTAACTAATTCAAGCAGGCAAAGTATCTTTCATCATTGTGATAAAATGAATTGCATCGTCGTATTGTAAAGTTTATTTGGACCAATTGAAAAGTTTAATTAATTTGCAAATTGAAAATTTCCCCTTTTTCTTCACAAATTTTTGATGAGAAATAGAAAAGAGAAATGGGAGGAGGAGAGAGGAAAAGTGGGTGTGAGGAATGATTTTGAAAATTTGAAAGATTTGATTTCATCATCATTTCATTCTATTAAGCCACCAGGTGGAAGAAAAGAAAAGATCCAATAATCTTCTCTCTCTCTCTCTCTCTCTTTGTCCGCATTAATATTTTAATTTCAAAGTCTAAGTTTTCAATTAACTAAATAATTTCACTTATCATTTTAATCAAGTTTAGAAATGCTTAGTGCACTGTTATGATTCAGTGTTCAATAAATTAAATCCAGTGGTATTTAAAATATTTCAAATTTTAGTTTTTTTTTTTTCTTAGCCTATAAAAAGAGGTGGTAAATTCTAATCGTTTATCAATTATAAAATTGAATTATTGAATTATTCTTATGGAATAGTTACCATAAATGGAGTATACAATCAATTGAAATTTAAAATGATCATCATATGTTGATAAAAATTGTATTTAATATTTTATTGATTACATTTATATTATTTGAGAAAATTATATTGATATGCTATGAATTCATCATTACAAGCAGAAATAATTTTGAAATAGTTATCAATTTTTTTTTTTCTACAATTCCGTGAATATTATGAAACTTCATATTTATTCATTGTCAAAAAAAAAAAAAAAATCACTTTTCTTGACCACCACCAATTCATTTTAATCACTCTGTTCACTGATACTTAATTATGGCATTAAACGTTATTATAAACCGGTTTTTCAATCTATCATTAATATCGAACTCATTCTTAATTATTTGTATTCATCAAATGAGATTTATCAATGCCAAGGATAAATGAGAGCAGGAAATTCATTATCTCTTTTCAATTCATTTTCACTCACTTTCATAATTCATTCTTTTTCGAACTTCTCCAAGCTAAATTTCATTTTCCATTAAATATTTAATTTAAAATTAATTAGTCGGGAAAATTAAATAATTTATGAGTAATAAATGAAAATTTAACTTTAAAGGGAATGAAATTATGAGGATTAAGGTAGATATAGCGTTGAAAATGATCAACAGTTTAATTATAAAATTAACATGTGCTAAATTTTTTTTTTATTAAATGAAAACAAATTTAAATAACACAAGAATAAGTAGCAGGAATATTTCAAAAATTTAGTACATTTAAACCTTTAAATTTTTCATTTTTTTTAAAATGCTAACAAAAGATGATAATGAATTTAGTGATGGATAAACTAAAGCATAGCCGAAATTTCACAACTTTCTTCTTTTTCAATTTATTGCTTTACTTTACAGCAATACTTCCATTCATTTTCTTTTCCACTAAAATTTTGTGATGAAATGAATTTTTTTTTTGAAATAAAAATGGGTCGGCAAACTTATATTACAGTTTCGAAAAAAAATAAATAAACAAATTTTATATTTTTCGTTTTTAAAAGAGAACAGGAAAAAAAAAGGAGAATAGGTGACAATATTTAAAAGTGAACAATTTAAAGAAGGAAAAGGAGAGGGAGAGAAAAATTATGTCATTTGTCGAGAAAAAAAAAAGCCGAATTACATTTTTCTGAAGAAGTATTACACTAAAAATAATAATTTTTAGCAACAGACCAATTAAAATATCATATTTTTTGGATAGCTAATAATGGTGTGGAATTGAAATATATATATAAATTTAATTTTTGCTCAATTTAAGATTGCTATTATTAGAGAGTATTGACACTTTGCTCAATTATAATCAATATAGAATACGAATTTTAGTACTTCTTTTGATATTTTAAATTCGATCGCTTTATTTCTTATATTTTCTCATATTTTAAATTCGATCAAAAAAATCAGCAGAATGAAATATATCCTTAAGATTAATAATCATAATGAATTTTTAAAATTCTTTTAATTAATTCAATTTTCTTTTTCTCGTAGGATACCGGTATACGACGACCAATAGTACGTGAGCAAAGTATTAATCGACCGGAATCGGTTATTCAACTTGCACGAAAATTTGCTGAAGCAAGCGCTGTACAGG